GAGGGGCGGAGAGAGAGAGCCTCGGCCGGCGGAGCAGTGCGGGGGGCACCGCCGCGGTCCCGGGAGGAGCAGGGCCGGAGAGGGTGAGTGAGGGAACCGGGAACAGGCTCCTTTGTGTTTGGCTGGTTGTTTTTTTAATCCAAACTCGAGAGGGGTCGGAGCACTCCGGTGCGCTGAGCTGGGGCAGCCCCTTCCCCCTGTCAGTCTGCAGGTGAACCGCAGCCACGGGCTCCCGTGCCCGGGCCCATCCTGCCGGGTCCGTCCTGTTTCCTTAAGCTGTGGAGAACGAAAACATTTATCTTTTACTAAACGTGAGTCAAATTTTATTGTAAGGAAACGGGGAGCTCGAGTCACTTGGGCTTTGAAGAGGTCAGAGGAAGAAGTCGAAGTTTAGCTCTTGCATTTAAAAACATATCGTGCCTGATGTCTGTTTCCGCCTTTCATCGTGAGAAATTATAAATTTGGAAAGGGGTGTTTGGAGAAAAGACATTGAGACAGCCACATCAAACACTCCATACGTGTTTTCATAAATGAATTGTAGCCATCCTGTAATATTTAAATATTTCAGAGTTAAAATGCATAACAAGAACTGGAGAACTCATTTATTTTAGCAGATATTGGAGCAAACTGATTTGCCACGTTGAAACCGTTATATTCAACAATTTGCTTGCCAGGCTAGGAGAAAGGATGGATGGTCTTTAGAGGACAAGGTATGCTTTGAAAATAACACGTACATTTAAATGGAGGGATAGTTGCTGTGCAATCTTTGTAACCTGGACAGTTTTGCAAGAGTCAAACATGTTTGTCCAAAGCAGGCAATATATTTGTGAACGTATCGTGGAAGTCTATGTTAGACATTGCTGGCATCAGAAAGAACGTGCCATAAACTGATAAATAAACTGGTTAGTTTGAGATCAAAAAGTTACAGAGATGAGAAACTCATGGCCAACCAGCACACACTCTTATCTAACCAAAGAGATCCAACACATCAGGAAATGTGCCACGCAGGAGCTGCAGCCCTGTGAGAACTCAAGGCACCTTTTGCAGGAACGGCACACTTTGCACTTCATCAGTTAGTTACTCTGCACCGAGGAGTAGGGGGTCTTGAACCTCCCATTTCAGCTTCTCTTAATAAATCTTGTTTTTCATAAGAATATTTTCATTTTAAGGTTTGCTTAGACATTTCAGGCAGGTTCACTACAGAAAGTATACTCGTTTGCCTTAAGAATGTCTAAGAAAAATGTGCCCAAGAAACACCTCGAGTCAAGCTTCAAGAATGTAAGATAGTATTTCTGTATAGTTTTCTGAGGCTTTTTAAACTTTGTGCAAACAGGTAATAAACCAAGCCTTTAAAACAATTAAGTAAGCTTTAACCTCATTTTACCAAGCGGGATCAAATGTGTAGTAAAAGGTCAAATGAAGAATGAGAAGCTGAGCATAAAATCTTAATTATCTTCTTCTGAGCTCACTTCCTTAACTCAAGCTTCCCATGGTATATGCTAATTTTCTCTCTCTCTCTCTCTCTCAGAAGTACTCAGATTCCAAATATTTTCAGTATGGAATAAACTACATTCAGTTTTTCTTCCTGTTTAACATTGTTTTACATGCTGGTATATACTTAAAAAGTATCCGTCTTGCCATGTGTTATGACACAAATATTTTATATTTGCTCTAGGACTTTCACTTGTTTGAGAAGTGCTTTTTGCCACAGGTAATGTTTCCAAAATTTCCTTTGTAACCATTGTTACCAGTCTAAAATAAACCACACTGGCACTTTGGGTATGGACCTTGGCTATTCTACAGGACTCCAGAGCACTTTGCTCCCATCCGTGAACAGTAAATAATAATTAACAGTAGCAGCTGCACTTTTTGAAGGTACTTACACACTCACTTTACTCTTTTAGCTTCAGATATCTTCTGACTTTAGACATACCTATACCTTCACTTTCTCTAAAATCCTGAAAAACTTCTTAGACCAGCTAAATTTGGGGTTTTGATACCTCTAACATTGCTGTTTGCCTTTGCTGTAAGCAGATGTGAACTTGAGGTCACATCAATATCACCTACAGTAGCTAGCCTTATCACCTCATTATATTATACTTTATTGAGTAGATTTCTCAAGAAGACAGGAAGGGTATCATATAATGACCTACTGCCACTTATGCAATGCTGCAATTGCTGCAAATATTGCTTGTGAGGGAAGCCCAATATATCATCTTCTGTATGGTGATTAATGAATTCCTCTGTATTTTTTCCTAGCTCTGTGCTCAAGTATTCCAACCCAAAAAAGCATGCCATCTACACAGAGAGGAAAAAAAAAGCTGACAGGAAAACATAAAAAGCAACAGCTCTGCATTTTAAAGAACACAGCATGGTTATCAATATTTCTGTTTCCTGAGGCAGAGAAGAGCTGGGAGGAATGGATGACTGCTGGCCTTTTGCAAGCGTGATAGTTATTCTTCTGTTTGTGAACTGAAGAATGTTCTATTGTGAATGGCACTGATGTGTGCTGGGGAACTGTCCTGGTTTTTAGCTGAGACAGAGCTGGGTTTCTTTTTAGTAGCTAGAATAGTGCTGTGTTTTGGTTTCACTCATTTGCATATTTTACTACTATTATTATCATTACTATTTTAATATCAGTATTGTTTTAATTTTTACTTTATTTAAATTAGTAAATCGTTCTTATCTCAACCTACGAGTCCCCTTACCCTTGCCCCCAATTCTCTCCCCTATCCCCCTGGGGAGGGGAGTGAGCAAACGGCTGTGTCTGGCTGCCAGCCAAGTGAAGCCACCACAGGAACAGGCGTAGAAGACAATACCGTAGGAGGAATAATAGGACATGCAGTGTTGAGGGGGGGAAGGAAGGTGTAATAGATTTTCTTAAAGAAAGCAAGAGAAGTTAAAGAAATACAGAAAGGACAGTAAAATTCAGATGAACAGACTTTCACATACAAGTGCAGTGTTTGCCGTATCTACATATCATTAGCCTATTTTGTGTCCACAATTAGGCCATCTACAAAAGCCTATTTTATATTTAAACAAATAAAAATAATAAGTAAAGTTGCTTTTGTCATCCTGTCTGGTAGCCTAGTACTTGAGTCTGGGCACAGACCAATTCTATAGGTTCAGTTCTGAAAAAATGAACTTATGTTTGAAATGTACAAAAAATGAGTAATGGGTGTAGACTACACTTTTTCTTAATTATGATACAGTTTCTGCTGCTGCTGTTGTTCTTTAATGCTGAATTTTCTCTTGGTGAGGAGAACTAGGTTCACTGCCAGAGAGAGCATGGATATTTGAAAAATCTTGTCTAAAATAGCTTTATATCCCTGTGTTTATGTTAATTATATTTTTTTTAAAGTCAAAGCTCTGGCAGTAATCCACTTTCCCCTTCCTACTCAGCTTAAACTGTATCTATTTGAAATGTTAATGTAAAATATTTTCCTTCTTGTCTTCTCTTGAAGAGAGAAACGTTTGGTTTTTGTTTCTTTTCAGCATTCAGTATGGCTTCTCCAGCTCTACTCATGCGTGTGGTCGCCTCTGCATATTCAGTTGCGGAAAAAGCTGCAACAATTGTCAGAAATGTAATGGCTGCAGGAGATCTGGGGATAGTGGAGAAGGTATTGTTTTTACTTTGTTCCAACTTAATTTCTCTTATTAATGCTGAATTAGATACAGGTCAATGGTATTTCTGAAGATCAACAACTGGAGAAGAAATACAGTCCCTACCTCTCTGATAAAAGAAATATTCCTTACTAAAGGATTAAAAGTGCATTGGAGAAATGTATTTTGACCAGTATTTCTAAAAAATGTTCAGATACTTAAAAGAAATACACCATAATTTTGTTCTGAGTCCCCTCACAAAACACATGTTTTGGATAGCATGTCAGAATTCATAATAATGAATCTTTCCCATTAGTTTCCATACTTATGTCCTAACATCTGTAGTACAGCTTACAGTACTGTACCCTTGATGAATTTTGGATTAGGATAAATCAATGTTTAGTTTCTAAAAACAAAAGAGAACCTTAGACTTGATTATAAATCACAGCTTTAAAAATAAGTTTGGAGCTTCAAATTTAATTCTAAATATAAAATAGAAATGAAATTACAATCATCTGCATTATGTTCTATTTGCTGTAAGTTAGTAAGCTGCACTGATGAGCCAGGATCTTTGTTTTGACTACAGTACTAGAATAGTTGTAATTAACTTTTGAAGTTAATTCTCACTTCATAGGTATGTCACAATATTATGGACTGCATTAAGTATCTATATTATTTTTGGTCTCTACATTGAAGTAATTGCTGGTATATACATTTTTCTGATGGTAAGCACTTTCAGCCAGTTGTGAAGAAAAACCTGACCCTTTATGACTATGTCAGTTCAGACAGTAGATGCAAAAAGAAAGGGTTTTTTTCCCCCCATTTGGTCATTTATATTCACCACTAAGAAAACATTTGCAAGTTTTTCTTATTCCCTTTTTCCTAGGCAATTAAAATCAGGTGTATGGGGGAGAGAATTAAAAAAAACCCAACAAACAAAAACAAACCAAAACCAGAAAGTAATGATCTGTGTTTTCAAAAGTACTTAGATGCATAGCAGAATTCTTGGACACATGTAAGTGGAATATACTCTCCCATATAATCTGCTTTTAGGTTCTTGGAAAACTAATGCAGCTGCTCTACAAGAAAGCCTTAAGATACTTGCATCCAAAGTTACAAAGGAAACACTGTCTGTACTTTGTTTGATTAACCAGTTAATTTTAAATGCATAAACAAGTTTCATTAAGCTTATTTTTTTAAGAGTCCCACAAGGTTAAGGTAATTTTAACTAAAAGTAAATGCTGGCTTTTATTTTTTTAATTCAGTTTCACTTTAACAAAATGCAGGTGTGTTACTGTTATTTCCCAGTAAATTGAAACTCGGGGACCTACTAACAGTCATACTGATTCCTGATATAATAGAACTAGCAAATGAACACATTTTAAACTCTATAACAAGTAAGTAAATAATTGTAAATAAAGTATTAATTTATTCTGTACACAGTGTAGTATTTGCACAAATAAACATTCAGTACAATTGCACCAGTGCATGAGAAGAACACAGCATGTAGATACCGTTCTAATATCATACCAATCTATCTTAGCTCTGGGGTGTACAGGGAAACTCTGCTTCTTTCAGCTTGTAGCCTGTGTCTCTCAAGATCAGTTACTAGGTTGATGATTTATCAAATTAGACTTCTTTCTCATTACAAGGCAGCTACTATGGGCCATTGAACTGGGGTTTTTTTGCTGTTGTTATTTTGAAATGCACAAATTCCTACCCGTCCTTTGACAGACTGGAGCCAATGACTTGCAGACCAAAGCCGACCGACTGGTACAAATGAGCATTTGTGCTTCCCTAGCACGGAAGTTTCCCAAGATGACAATCATAGGAGAAGAAGTAAGCACCTAATTTATTTCATACTAACAATTTAACTTGCTGTAACTTGCAATGGAATTTGCTTTGCCCAATTTTAGGAAATCATTTGGGTTTAAAAAAAAAAAAATAAAAAATTCCATCTCATTTCATCTTTCCATTGCATTAGCTTTGTAAAGAAAGCCACAAAAAAAAAAAAAAAAATTCCATCTCATTTCATCTTTCTATTGCATTAGCTTTGTAAAGAAAGCCAGAAGCAAATCCACAGTTCTAAGGCAAATCAGGGTGAGTCCAACACTTTTTCCCAATAATTCTAAGAATCCTTTTGATAGGAACTGCCCAGTGATGAGGTAAATGAGGAATTAATTGAAGATGGTCACTGTGAAGAAATCCTGAAGAAACCTTGTCCTGCTCAGTACACAGGAATTAAAGAGGAAGAGGTAATGTGGTAAATACTATACATATGTTTTCACATTTTACACTCTATATTACTTATTTATTTTAGCTAAGAATGTATTAAGAAAAAAAGTTTTTTTCAGTGTTGTCAATTTTTCTTTTTGTTTTGAAAACTGAAATGCAGTCATGAGAGTCACACCTCCAGAGCTGGAAATGCTGCATATCCCTGTGTGCAATAATGGGAAAGGGAAATTTGCTTCTTACAGCTTGTGATTCAAATTTATTTGGAAGGAATCTACTCTGGACATAAGAAATTAATGTTCAGTTCAAGCCTTCATATCTCTATTAAGGTATTTGCTGAGAAGTTCCAGTCAGTTTTTTAAGGCTTTTTTTGTGAAAAATACTATTACAAATAGTGCAAGTAGATATGACTTCAGTCATATCATAATGTAAAAAATTTGAAGCTCTTTTGCCAAAAGGAAATAAAAGCACTAAAGTAAAATATATACTTTGCATGGTAATTTATGTGATTTGTATTTGTTAATTTTCCTTATTTTTTTATTTTTAAAGCTTGTAATATGGGTTGATCCCTTGGATGGAACCAAGGAGTACACTGAAGGTTGGCTTCTCTTTTAATTCTTCTGATTCAAAAAAAATTAATGTAATTAATTACTGTGTAATAAAGCAGCATGTACATGTAGGTAGTTTTATGATAGAAGTTACATACAACATTTTTTCATAAGGCTGTTGTTGTTTCTATGGAATTTTTTAATCGTTCCATTCAGTTCTAACCAGTATTGAATATTCTTGATGGGCTACTGAGTGCCCACCAGTTGTTATCATTTTAGGGAGCAAAGGGCTGCCTTTGATTGCTGGGAGGTTGTCTTAAGTTTTTAGTCAAACTTACGATTTCACATATATGTTGAATGAGGGACTAAATCTCCCATTTGCACAGGAATATGCTCAACTATATTTACATCCTTCTCTTCAAATAACCCAAATACCACAGCTGTATTTATAGCCCTTTCAAAATTAAACATCTTCCCCTAAATTGTAATTCTTCAGTTATGGGAAGAAACCTTTTTCAGCAAAGCCTAATTTGTGTCCATAGAAATAGACCCTAAAATGAAGGGGGAAGGAAAAAAAAAAAAAAAGAAAAACTTCCCAAAACAGTATGCTGAAACCTCACTTTAGCCTCTTGCTGCATCTTTTTGTTGATTAATGTAAAATCTTTTACCCATATTTTTTTTCCCCCTTTTCAGGG